ATATATATATATATATGTGTGGATATATATGTATATATGTATGTATGTATGTGTATAGGTATGTATGTATGCATGCTTGTGTGTATATCTATAGATAATACTCTTTGAGGTCAGGGACTATTATTTATTTGTCTTTACTACCATTGCCTAAACTATGCTTTGCACAAACTAGGGACCTAATAAATCCTTGTTGGATTAGAGAACCCCCAAATTGAAATAGTAATTGCCTAAGATATCAGGCTTATTTTATTCTTTTCATTAAGTTCTAAGTTAGAGCCTATAGCCTCTGCTCAATTGATTATTTACCTAATGGGACTTCATCCACTTTGTATTCTGATACCTATATTGAACACTAAATGTGTACTTGAACAGATGTTAAATACTTCCTAAGGGGACTATTTTTTAAGAGAGTCACCTTTCCCCCTTCCTTTCTAAATGCATTCTTTACTGTCAGAGGCAATGATTAAACCTATTATAGGTTATACAAGACAGCAACTAATCTATGTGATCTCTGACTTAAAAATTCTTTCCCATTAAACATAGTACACTGTTTTTAAGCTTCTGGACCTTGCCTATATCAGTAAATGACTGAGTCTCTATGTCTGTATTTCTTTTATGCAAAAGAGCACTGATAAAATTGGTTTCTCCCAGGGGGTTCTATGAATCCTCTTAGGTGCTGAAAGCAGAGCTGTAAATATTTTTTGCTTCTTCAAAAAGCATATTGCTCATTCCCATAAAGCTAAAGAATGAAACTTCAAATTGGTGCTAAATTAAATCTTAACTTCCAATGTTTAAAACTTAGGGAAATATTAAAATTCATTTTAACAAGTCTCTGACTTTTTCTAGGGATAATTTCTACCTCTTACCTCTTTAACACTGAAGCCACTCTCCATAGATGGTAATTGCAAAGTACTTAATGCACCTTCATGGACTCCTTGATTTATTTCTATTTTATTTTTTCCCATTAGGACAGTCTTCTTTTTTATCTGTCAATATTAGCACCACCAAGCACTTGTGATCACCAGTACCGTAGTCACTATCAACATAGTCAAAAGGACAAGAGAAGAAACAAATGGGATTTTACCAATCATTCTTTTATTCTCCCATGGACAGTATCTTTAAATTGATGTGAGCCTAAAGCGGTATTAACCAAGCAGGGAAGCTATAAATCTAGGGATGAAACAGGTGTAGACTCTTTCAATACAATGTTCCCTTGTAAATATCTTTTAGAGCTGGGTATACACAGAGGCACATATAGGCCATTTCTTTTGCTCCTCTTGGGTTTCAATTGGTTCATATAGATTCTTGAGTTCAAAATGATAGTAACCCTTGATTCTGATGAATGTAACTGAGTTTAAGACTCATGAAACTGAGCTCTTGGTAGGGAGCATATCCTCATTAACATCTCTCTTTGCATCCTCAGTGCCTAACATTGTGCCTGTAAAAGACATTTGTTGTTGTTGGTTAACCATTTTTCAGTTGTGTCTGACTCTTCCTGGCCTCTTTTTTTTGGGGGGGGCGGTGGTTCCTGGCATAGATACTGGAGAGTTTTGCCATTTCCTTCTCCAGCACATTTTACAGATGAAGAAACTGATGCAAACAGGGTTCACTAAGAAGCCCAGGATCACACAGCCAGTAAGTGTCTGAGACTGCATTTGAACTCGGATCCTCCTGACTACAGGCCCAGAACTCTATGTACAGTGACCTGTGCCACCTATCTGCTACTAAAAAACATAGTAGGTGTTGATTGACTTATTTTGCCTTTGTATCACCAGTGCCAAGAAGAGTAGACACCACATAGTAGACACTTAATGAATGAACAAAAGGACAAACCAAAGGTCAA